GGGTCCTCACCCGCGCGCTTAAAAGGGACTTATGAATACTCCACTACAGACACACACAAAAGGTTCATAAAAGGTTTATTTACAAGGGAAAAGGAAAGAAGGAAAATGTACAACTCAGGGAGAAAATAGGGAAATAAAGTCTTTAATGCGTCCTACCCGATCCGCCGACCTGGAAACCCAAAGTCACTCTCAGAACTGGCCGGACGCTGCGAGCTGGCGGAGAGCCAAAATGGGGGGGGACCCCTCCAAAGCCCACATGTCTGGTTTTATACCAACCTGGCTGCTTAACCCCACCCTCAGGTCCCAGCCCCCTTCCCTTGGGTGGTGATGGGATTTGGAGTTCCCAGTGTCTTTGGCTTTGGCCTGGGGTGGGGGTGGAGTCCACAAAGCCTGTATGGAATTAGCTTTAGGACAGCCTTTTCCCCCTAACAACTTCTCCCCGACTGTCTCTTCATCTCGCATCTTTGGGAGCCAGAGAAGAGACTGGTACCTCACACCTGCTGGGAATGTTGGGTGATCAGAGCCAAAGCTCCTGAGTATTATTTTTCCTAATATTACTCTTACAAAATAATAACTGCTAGCTCTTTGTCATGCGAATACTCAAGTACAATACAGGGGAAAAGTAAAATTCCTGATCTTATGGAGCCCTCTCAGCTGCTTCTTTCCAGGCAACTTGGGGGAGCCCACAAGGGACAGGGAGTGGAGCCAGCACCCGGAACCCACCATCTGCCCAGCCAGGCAGGAGACGGGGAGGGAGGAAGCTGTCTGTTGGCTGTTCTTCAGGACGGTTTCTTGAGTTCATTTTCCAACACTCTGCTCTAGAGGTCTGACTTCCAAGCAAAGGAGTTCTTTCCAAAATGACCCTTCAGAAGTGGAAGTGCCAACCAGCGCCTCCCCCTTGCATATGGCCGCCTCGGGAGGCTAAGCGTCTGCTCCTGGCCATATTATTACTTTCTGACAGTTTGAGAAAGACCAACTTGGCAACTGCCAACAGCCCTTGTGATAAATTCTCTTGAAATCCTCACTGGAGGTAAGTGTTCATTCTGCAAGAGTTTGGAGTTCATTCTCCGAGAGTTGTTCAAAGTCAGAGCTGATGTCTGAGGGGACACTTTCTCTGAATTGAAGGAAAATGTAACCACAAAGATGAGTTGTGGCAAGCAGGTGAGCATGACAAGAGCTGAATTACTGAGTGTGGATCTGAACTGAGGAGTGAATCCCCTTCCACGCATATCACCTCTGTAAGCCCTCACCTGCACCCCCTGCCGGGCAGGATCACTCTACCCATTTCACAGGTGGGGAAAATGGAGGTTCAGTAACCTGGGTAAGGTCTCATAACTACTGCGAGGCAGGACTCTGCCCCAGAGTCCCCATTTGGGACAGAGGTGGGGGAGAAGGGACTGTCCCAACGAGGCTGGTGTGTATGTGTGTGTGTGTGTGTGTGTGTGTGTGTGAGAGAGAGAGAGAGAGAGAGAGAGAGAGAGAGAGAGAGATGGCAGAGGTAGGGGTCATGGGAGGGAAGGCAGGAAGCTGGGGCCGTAGGGGAAACCCACTCGGGCTAAGTGTCCTCAGGGCCAGATGAACACAAGTACAGGAAAGCCTCAGGGCTTCAGCACAAGGGCTGGAAAAACCAGGCTGCTTTTTTCACAGTGAACCAAAATGAGCAAATTTGGGTGAAAAGACTCCATTTTCTTGCTTTTGAGTACTTCAGGTTGCTTTCACAAGGTTAAGCCTACGAATGGTGGCCTGGAGGAGGTCACTTTCACCAACAGCACAGAATGCACTGGCATTCCAGTTTACACTTTAAAGGTGAGGGTTGTGTATAAGGTGGGGCTGATGAAACCCCTGAAGGCATTGCTCTCAGGATTCCATTTGCCTCCTCAACACAAAGCTTTTGCACCTGTGCATTGTGCTGTGCAAATCTTTATTTCAAAAGTAGGCCAAAAGTTCTCTTTTAAAAATGAGCAGGATCTGAATTAGCAACATCAGCTAGTTTTATAATGTTTTTTTTTTTTTAATAGAGGCATGCTTTTTTTTTTTTTTTTTTTTTATTTGTTTGCTGGTTTGTTTGTTTTTTGTTTATACATGCACTGGGCACAGTCAGAAGCGCGGGAGGGTGAGAGAATTCACCAGAGCCAGAGCGGGGAGCAGAGCAGGCAGAAGGACCGAAGTACACTGCTGAGGGGAGCAGCGGGCGGCAGGAGAGGTCTGCGCTCCATGTGGGACCCTCCTCCGGTGGCCGGGGAGCAGCCGGGGATCAAACCGGCGCTGCAGAGGCTGCGCGCAGTTTCGCAACCCAGCGCTCAACCGCTGCGCCACCGGGGAGGCCCAACATCAGCTAGTTTTGATCCAAGGTCAGCACATGCTCACTGACTAGCCACACTGGCCAGAGGCCCTGGCCACACGGAGAGGGGAAATCACCACAGAGAAGCTGTAGGCTGGAGAAGGAAAGAGGCCCACGGACAAGGCCCTGAGGACGTTCTCGTTTTTCCTGGGTGTTTGAACCTGGCTTCCTCAAGGAGGCCACATCCTTGGTGACAGCACAACCTCCTGTTTAAATAAAAGTTTGAAAAACTGTTGCTACATCAGTTTACCACCCAAAGCCACAGAGAAGCCTCCAAAGCTGAACCCAGAAATGGCTGCGTCATCTAAAGTTCCAGCGCAAAATGAAAATCTAGGGCCCCTTGTCAAGAATTTCAAGATGGCGAGAGCAGAGCGAGAGCGTGAATATACAAATGGATAATGGCCGCATATAGAAGAGCCCACTGGCCATAGCCCGCCGCCTGCCAGGGAACCAACTCCTTTCCTACCACAGCCCACCCAGGAGGCCAGCCTCCTACCTGTCACTCTTGTAGGGTATCAGATGGCTATCTCTAGCCATCAGGACTAACCCCTGCACAACTGACCCCAAGTGGCCAGGACTTGATCGTTAACTGGCCACTTCCTTAACTTTTGGCCCCATTTCCAACTTAGAATCGATCAGAGAAAGCCCAATGTACACCCTGAGCCAGTCACACAGGACACCCCAATTCCAACCAGCCCACCTCTGGCTTCCCTACACCCATGACTGAGCATGTCCTGAGACGATGATTCCACGACCAACCTTTCCTGTCCTCTGCCTGCTTTGGAGTCTCTGCCAGAATGCACGTGACGGTGCTGCATCCACAGCCTCGGCCTGCTCTCCCGCAGTGGGTCTTCCTTGCTGTCCAGAGTGGGAAGCCCAAGTTCTTCCTGCACCAGGCCCAGCAGCGGGAAGCAGCCTCTGGCCCTAACAGCCAAGCAAGCACACTGCTGCCCTCTACAGGCGCTTCCGACCATCCTGCAACCAGCAAGCCAAGGAGACCCTCTCCTGATGGGGATCCTCTCCAGCCATCTCCCTCTCTGGGGTGACCCTCCTAGGCCTGGCAGAGGACTGCCTGGCAACACTGGACTGAGGTGTTTCCACACAGCACCCTCAAAAACCCACGAAGCTTCAGCTGTAGGACACGGTTCCCTCACCCCAGTGGCTCAGCTCTGCTGACCTGGCTCTAGGGCTGGGCTGCCTTCCACGCTGGTCAGCTCTGGCTAACATTAGATTTCCCAGGCACTAGGGGGCACTATGGCTTCCCAAACACCACTTGGGGTACCCATCAAACCACCCTGAATTTTTTTTTTCTTTTCTGTAAAATGTGGGTAGCAACCCCTTCTCTGCAGAGCTGTTCTGAGACGCCCCAGTAGCCCTCTTCCACTGGCTGCTTGTGACAATGTAATTCATTCCAGAACAAGCTGTAATTCTTTGTCCTTAAAACCCATCAGTTATTTAAATGTTATGAGGTAAATTTGTCCAATGTGTTCGCTCTAAAGTACTCTACGTACCTACAACCTGTACTTTCTCTGTAAAGCTGAGAGTCCACCTTTCTTGCTCACAAAAGTTAATTCGAGTCATCCTGCACTGTGCCATGAACACTGGCCAACCTTCAACATTTACCTAAGTTATATCTTAATCATGTAAAGGGTATACATGCAAAACTGCAGGCCAGCATGCACAGGCTCCTGCAGATCAGTTCTAAATGCCAAGCTCATGCCCATGACAGCTACTTCTTTTGGGTTCCCCTTCAAAACATAAGAATCAGTCTGGCGGAAGCACCTCACGTATCAAAAGACGAGGCATCTCAAACCCAAGTGTGACAGCTCCCCAATAAAGACACAGACACAGGACTCAGCAGCCTACAGCGGCCTGCCCACCTGGGTATAGTATGTCTTTCAAAAGACTGAGGAGATTTAAAATTTTGAAAAGATTATCAGCGAACTGGCGGAATTCATACCTAAAATGGAAACTCTTTGAAAGTCACATGAGGAAATTATCCCACTGCAGCCACGAGCATTAAGCAATCCATAGAGCACATCTGCTCTGTGCTCAGCTGTGCTCAGTTGCGCCATCTCTCTCATGTTCACAAGGAGTCAGCCCCACAGCCGGGCACCCGCGTCCGCGGCCAGTACTGAGCGGAGGGAAAGGCACAGCTCAGCACTGATTTAAAGTCTTCAGAGTTCAAATACAGCAACGAAATGAGAAAAGACAACCATGGAGGTGTCAAGCAATGGTGTCCCCACTTAGGGCATGGATAGCACTGATCTTTTGGCTTCCTTAGGATTAGGATAAACAGTATAATTTATGTCAAAAACAATTTGAAGGCATTCTGGAGACCCGAAATGAACTAGAAGGGAAGTTGTAAAAACAGGAATAAATGTGTTTTTATAAAAGACTAAATGCATTAAAGCTTCCAGTGATGACTACTTAAATGCAATCTTTCCTGATGTGGAAATGATTCCTGATAAACACCCTTTTGACAGAAAAGAGAACTTTTCCTTCACATTCAATTTGTGTTTCCTTTAAACACAAGTTGTGCACACAGTATTATAAAGAAATTTTAGCAAAAACAGGACTAGAGACTGAAAAGATGAAGCAGAAAAAGAAGAAATAAGATTACTATTTATTTCTTTGCTTTACACGCAAAAAAATTCAAAATGGTCCAAGACACCCTTGCCCCCCTCCCACGCCCCGCCCAGCATGATGGGAACATACAGAAGGGTCACGAGCCCAGCTCGGGCTCGACCTTCTCCAATTTGATGACTATCTCTGGAGCTGAATCAGCAGCCCTGGCTTGCTGGCTCTCGGCCTCTGACTCAGACAGCACCTCTTCCTTGATCTTCATGGGCTTGTTGCCGGCCTCCTCCTCTTCATCGGAGGACTCGTCCAGCTCCCACTCGTCATCTATGTCCATTTCAAACACTCTCACATGACGGAGATTTGAGCTTAACTGAAGAAGAAAAGGCCATATAAGGAATTTTTAAATGAATGGCTGCAATACCCTATATGGGAGGAATTAAAAATCAGAAGTTTGAAGGAAAAAGGATTTCATAGCTCAGTTATAATCCTAATATTTTAAAACGAAGTCACTGAACTCAGCCTTCATTTTGAGTAAGGAAATTTCCACACACAACAGTGACAATTTCATGATTAAAATCTAGAACTGTTCCTTGCTTCATCAGTTTCCTCAGAACAAGAGAACTTTATAGCTAAGGCTGCCATGTGCCCATAACCAATAAAAGGTATACCTGACAAGATGTTTGCCCTGAAAGGACCTTATAGATCTCAAGTCACTTCCTCCTGCTACGCTTGCTTAGAAAACAAGCTGTACTTACCACACAGGACACTTTTCGAAAACCATTGCCAGCAACATACTGTGCCTTCATGCTCTCCAGTAACCTCCAGTGCTTCTCGAAATGCAGGGTGCGTGTGGGGATGGCACTGCATTGCTCATCCAGCCTGGGGGACACCAACAGGGAGTGAAAAGAGGGTCGTCTCCCAGGTGGTTTTCCTGGGGTGGAATCAGGGTCAACCATGCATTCAATTTCTCCCAACATTCCCACATCCAACATAATCTCACCAGCTGTGATGCTACATTCGATGTAAATACTGCAATCTCAAGTAAGCAGCACATCATCTAAGATTTCTCATTCCCTTTAAGGGAAAGCGGATGGACACACTTTTAAATCAAAGAGACCTACTTACATCTCAGTCTGGCAAAGCCATCTCTTAGCACTGCCCGTGTCCATCCCAGGGGGCTACCGAGGCCCTAATTCTGGGAAGAACACACTGAAGGCGAATCTAAAATAATTAACTCTACTGAAAACTGGGGTGAATGCTACCCTCAAAAACCAGAGCTAACAGAAGTCCCACTCTTCACTCCAAATAATTCCCCGCCTATTCCAGTGACTGCTTCATGACTTACTAGTCAAGGGACAGAGGAGTGTTGAAGAAAGTATTTTTTTTTTTTTTAAGATTTATTTATATATGCATACAAGCACTGGGATACAGGCCAGAGGTGTGATGGTGAGAGGATTCACCAGAGATAAGAGTGGGGAGCAGAACAGGCACACTGAGTGAAATACACTGCTGAGGGGAGCAGCAGGCGAGTTAGGAGAGGTCTGCTGTGCCATGTGGGTAGCTCCCTGGCCAGGGATCGAACTTGTGCTGCAGTGGCTGCGGATAGCTTCATAGGTTGTGTCTTAACTCCATGCACCACCAGGGAGGCCTTGAAGCAAGTTTTTATTTTATTTTAAAATAAAAATATTTCTGCTCTGCTGACTTTATGGTTATCTTCTGTAATTAGATACCCATCATCCAATATACCTAAAAATCTTGAATGTAAAAATACATTTAAAAAACATTTATATCAGAAACTATACAAAAAACTATTATATCCAAAAAATGATCTTACTTTTTAAAAAGTAAGTTACCTTGTAGAGTAAGTCCCGGTGAACTGATATTCTCCACAATCTTCATTGTTATACACCAAAGACAATGGCAGCTGGACCAAGAGTCTATCTCTTCCTTCACGTCCTACAGTGTCTTTAAGAACTACCGTTACAGTTTCATCATCATAAAACTGTGCATCTAAACAACTATAGGTGCTAGAATTGAAATAAGTTTTGTTATACCAAAAAGGATCATGATTATTGAGAAAATATTGTATGCATAACATGACAGTGGTAACAAGCAAAAAACTTAATTAAAAAAATCAAGTGGCAGCCTGTACCTTAATGCTTGAAATGCTGCATTAGTTTGTACTACAACCATGGGTGCCTACTGCACTGATTATTCATAAACATAACTAGACCCTAAAAATAGGTAATCGTGATAAAAACGCTGTGAAATCACAGTTCCACAAAGCTTTTGACATCAAAGGTCAAGCCTTAAGGATGGCTCAGTAAATCAGTGAATAAACAGAACTAACCAAAATGAACAGCAAAAATAAGATTTACCTATGAAAAGTCACAACAACCTCTAAGATACTGTCATAAAGAACGTCTTTTACATAGGGAAAAGAGAGTGAGAAAAAGGATCAGTCTCTGATTAGTGCCAGTTCTTTCCCCGGTAAAGCTTCAGGGGTGACTTAGGTCATGTTACCCTTTTGAACCCTGAGAAAATCCCATAGCTATGAGAATCCCACCTCACATTTCTGCTGGTCAAACAAGAATGTCAGCTGTCTGCCCCCTGCACCAACATTAGGTTCTTAGCAGACAGGGAGCGCAAAAGTGTTAATTACAGGAAACCATGCTCCCTAAAATTCCTATAGGGTATAAGGTTTTAAGTCAAATAATTCTCTAAGTTTAAAGTGTGTACCCAACCCTGCCCAGATGCTCCAGATGACAAAGGTCTCCTGGTAGATCATCATCATAACTGGGTCTAACCATATTCCTGTAGATGCATTTACTACACATATACACTGACGTAGACATCTCATCCACACGAGATTTAAGACTTACCTTCTTCTCACTTTTTCTGTTGTGGCATATGTGAAGCTCCCAAATTTAATAGCAATTAGTCCATTACTTACAGATCTTAAAGAAAGAAGGGGAGAAAAAGAGACTTTGTAGAACGACTTGGACAGCGAATAGTCTACATGCTCGAAAGAACACAAGTGTCAGGGTTAGTACATTTACTTAAACACCAGATCCCGGATCAAAATACCATTATGCTCACTCTTGAGTACTGATAACTCATTTAAACGCCTAGATAGTTAAATCTCACATCAAAATTACAACTAGATTGAAATCTCAGAGTCACCAAAGTAGCTAGATAAAAAATTAAGGACATTTAGAATTATCAAATTATTTCTCTTTTGCTATAACTTGGATCCAAAAAGATTCCTTCAAATTTAGATTTAAAATAATTTAAGATACTAATGGCATTCTGAATGATTTAATCTTTATCATTCAGAACGTTTATTTTGGATTCTCAAAAGAATACTTCCATTGGATTCTCCTTCTGAGTTTCTAAAGTAAAGGTATAGGCTCTTGTTGAATGAAAGTCACATTTAACCTGAGCTAAAAATCTTTTCCAATAGGAACTCAAAGTACAGTTTCACACTTCTACAAGTTCATGAACTATTACACTGAGTGTTTTGACTGCTGTATTTTTCCTCACCCTAAAAAAAATCCTACCTGTAGAAGCCATAGAGCAACACAAAATTAATCATCAAGAATTAGAAGGGATTGCACAGCTTCCTAGTTTGGCACTAACTTAACAATGTGAAAACTTAAGACTAAGAACAGCTAAATGACAAGCCTGAAGTTACAAGGTAGTATAACTAAAACTTGAAATGTAGAGAAAGAAAAGTTGTATGCACTAGTTAAAAAAAAAAAAACCTTCTCTCTTTGATTTAAATTTCACATTAATACTTACTGGGAAATATCAGTATGTCTCCTTAAAATGCACATTTTGTAAAGTGAATCTTCTAAAATAGTAAAAAGAAGATAATGCAGATTTGAAGTCTTATTATTCCACCTAGGGAAATAAAAAAATGTGGAAACATGTTATTTCACTATCAATGTATGGAATAAACTTGTATATTCATGAGAGAGAGAGAGAAACACACTTACAGAAAAGGAAATTTGAACAATCTACGGGTAGTGTCCTCACTAAAACAAAAGGAAAAAATGTAAGAAAAATTTAAATTGGCTCCTGAATTATACCACCCAAAAAGTAAAGAATTACCTTCTAGCATCTCTATATAAGGGAATGCAGATTGCTTGATTCATTGATTTTCCAATTACATCCTAAATAAAATAAGATTTAAAAAAATAATTAGAGCATTTTACAGAGAGAGTCTACAGAAAGTGACTTGCTATTCAAAGCTGGTAAAAATCACCTCTATCACCCAACCATTCACATAAGAAACTTTCACAACAGTCATGACAGTAAGGAAAAGAGAAAATTCTGAGCTGAAAAGACCCTGGCGATCAGGTCATGGCAGGTGAAGAGCCACCCACCAGTCTCACAGCATCAACCACCCACTCTCAGGAGCAAATGAGGCACATTGACACGTGCGCTCTATATGAAGGCATTTACACTGATCTGGTCACAAATAAAATACTGGAGGCCACCAGTGTCAATAATCTTTATATTTAATTTTTTATGTATGTAAGAAACTAACAGAAAGAGGAAATATTAGGACGAACCACATGAAACTGCCACTTTTGTTAATCAAAAGCAACTGAATGTGTGCATTTATTTTCATATGTTTCACCTTAAGAACTATGACTATTTACATAGGCGAGTAGCAGAGTGTAGATATTATATTTTTACTCCTACAGAAAGACATGCATTTCTTTTATACTTACTGCTGGCTTTTGCAAACACTGATCAATAATGTTCTCCATCTTTCTTTTCACAAAATGCAATGATTTTCGAGGATAATAAGGAAACAGCAAAGGACTTTCTGGTTTCAAACAAAAACAGAAGCAACAACAAAAGCTATAACAGACCATATGATTAGGAGAAAATAATCTACTGTCCAAGCCTGGCTGCACAGCTGGTCTGAGGGTGAATCCTCCCCACCACTTCATTATTCCTCACATGGCCTCACCAACACTGACTGTGGTCTCTGCCTTTATTACCTCCCACCCCACTGCCAGCTCTCTCAGAACAACTTAGCAGCTTATTGTTCTAAATTCTCCTTTTCCCCACCCAAATCCAATGGTACGTGTCTGTTGGCTATAAGAAGAAAGGGATGATTTATGAATCATAAGATATATAATGAAATAAAGTTCATTCTTCTCTATCCCCTACCACAATGGAGGGACAAAAGCAGTGTTATTTGGGGAGAGCATGACCCTAAAAACAAAAACAGTGCTATGAAAATAAATTCTTTACTTTTGAAAAGGCTACTTAGCAGTAGAAAGTAATAACGTAATTTAGCATTTACTGACACCAATGATGCTAGATTCTTTCTATATCTGCTATTACTAATGCTTACAATAGCTGTACAAAGTAAGCATCCTATGTTCTAATTTACAGATGGGGGGAACAATGAGGCTGAGGTTTAGGCAATTGCCCAGTGTGTAAAGGACAAAGAATCTAAATCTGTGAATCAAACCCAAGTCTACCCAGGCCCCTCCTCTTCCACAGCACCCTGCAGGCTTCCCTCCCTCACAGCACCTCACGTCCCAGCACTGCTGGGTAAAATGGATTTTAATCATGTTCACTTTTCGGTCCCCAACAGCTGACAGATGCCCTGGTATCACAGAAAGATATTAGATCTTTATCCTTGCTACTGGCACAGAGCTCCTAAAACCCTTTACAATTTCCTGAGTAATAACAATGATAGGAGCATCTTTTGTCTTAATGAGGCAACTCTTGGCAGGTCCATGGATGGCTTCAGATGGGGGCTGGTTGCCAGCAAGACTAAGGCTCAATTAAAGCTTGGAACTTCTAGCCCATCCCCCAATCTAGAGACTGAGCCCATCGCCAATGGCCAGTGATTTAATCCATCATGCCTACTTAATGAATATTTCATTAAAAGACAAAACCTATACAACAAGGTCAGAGGGCTTCTGGGTTGGTGAGCACACTGAGGTGCTCAGAGGCTAGAGAGCTTGGGGAGGGCAGCTCTGCACCCTTTTCCCCTCGAAACTACCCTATGCAGCTCTTCTGTTTGGCTATTCCCAAATGGCACCCTTATTTAAAAACTGGCAAATGTAATTTAAGTGTGTCCATGACTTTCATGAACCATTTTAGCAAATTATTGAAACTTAAGGGGAGAGGGAGTTGTGGGAAGCCCCATTACTGAAGCCATGTCTGGCAGAAATGTGGGTAATTCGGGACTCAATGTGTCCAACCAAAGCCTGAAGTGGGAGCATCTTGAGGGACTGAGCTCTTAAACCCACGGAGTCCGGCGCCAACTGTGGACGTCATAACTGAATTGAACTGCATGCGGGACACATTGTTAACGTCAGGGAAAACACTCCCTCCTCCCAGCGTCGGAAGTATCGTGAGGAAATGCAATGAGAGGCCGGCATATGGAGAGCTTGTCCTCTGTGCTCCACACTGTCAATGCTTCATCTATTTAGATTAAGCTGCTTTATCTTCACGGAGGCTTTTTGGAAGGAGGAGAACATATGTACGTGGCTATTACGATAAGGACCTAAGAAGTTGTTGGATTGTGGTCAGATTTCTCTTTGAGAAAGCAAAGAAATACTTGCTTTAAAAATATTTTCTTTCAAATAAATAAATAAATAAATAAAAATATTTTCTTCTGAAGTGAAGTTTTGACATTCCTAATGGTTGCTATTTTATATCACATCCCCAATAATGCTGAATAAAGTGATACTGTATTATACAGAGAGAATAAAAAGAATAACAAGTATAACATGTTAGGTTTTATATAACATTAAAAAAACTACAAATGCAGGAGTACAATGAAGTATCGCCATGCTTCTAGGAGCTAACCAATGAGAACTGGCAAAATGGACTTCTCCCACCAGAAGTGGTTTTCTTCCCAACATCCTATTTGTAGGACATAAAATCAACAGTATAAAAACAATTAGGAACAAGCAATCAGTTAATTTCAGGGTGTTTTCTATTATGGCAATGTCATAAACTATTTGTTTTCTTGCTGTCTAATAAAACACATTGAACAAAAAAGACAAATTTAAAGAGCTTGGGTTTTAGATAACATATGGGTCTCAAATAAAGACAGACTTGGCCAGAAATCTGCTTGGCTCATGGAGTACCTTTAAGGTGGCTGCTGTTCTGAAGAAAGTCATACCACTGGTTTCCTTCTGTGTTAGGAGGTGACACGAGGTCGTCATCCTCATCCTTCAGGTACTAGAGATACAGGATTCAAAATTAAAATTTAGTAAACCAAAGAATTAGGCTCCCAAACCTGTTTACATTTAATATTATTCTATTCATAAGTGATTCTGTTTTAGTGCCAAGTCCTCTGAAAACACACTTCTATTATCCTGACAGAAGTGACCAAAGTCTGCTAAATGCCAAGCAACTAAAGAAATTACAAATTCATCACTAAAAGCATAGAATGCTGTAAGATGTGGGGACTATAAATTGAATTTAATTTCGTATTCCATTTTCAGAAGCATCTTTTCATCTTAAATATATGTCATAAATAAGTTTTTAAAGTGTCAACTGCCAATCAACTCGATGGCAGTAGTTCTCAAAATGTGGTCAGGCCTCTAAGAGTCCACAAGATGTTTTCAGGCATCTGAGGCCAATGCCATCTTTACAGTAATAAGATGTTATCTGCCCTTTTTGCTGTATGCATTTGCATGGATGTTCAAAACACAGGTGGGGAAAATTCCCACGAGCTGAAATTCCAAAGTTAAGTCGAAACTACTCAATCCACACAGGTAGTGATCATATTTCTTTCTGCCACACACTCACAGCTTCACTTATCATTGGTGAGGCTATTAAAATGATTACTTTTATTAAATCTTATCCCTTGAGCATAAATCTTTTTAATATCCCATGTGACAGAATTGGAAGCATACATAAAGTATTTTTGCTGCATATCAATGCATGATGGTTATCACAGGGAAAAGCACTTATGAAATTGTTCGAATTGTGAGTTAAACTAGGTGCCTTTTTATTATTAATGAATTTCCATTTTTCTTGAAAGGATGACTGGCAGACAATTATTCATACTCAGGTATTTGGCAGATATTGTCTCGAAAATGAAGTGAATCTGTCACTTTAAGCAAAACAACTAACTATATTTGTTGTCGATGATAAAACTTAAAACATTCAAGTAAAAATTAAAATCTGAGTAGACCTTCACAGGTTTCCCTGCTTTTCAAAAGTAGAACGTTTCCATTTAGCATGATTTGATAGGTTATTTTTTTAGTTTACGTATACTCAGAACTTTTTCTATATAATAATAACAGAACTCCTAGAATCAAAAATAACTTACAAATTATACCAAACGGGAATGTTCTACTTTCAGATAGTGGGGGTATCTGACCTACCAATGTACACTTGATTGCTTTACAGTACTTGAAGATTTCCTTATGGGAAGCTGAACAAGTCTGTAACAACAGATATCCCTTACAGGAAATGTTGAAAGGGCTCTCCTATCTAAGTCAAAGAGAAGAAAATCCACAAAAACTGAACAAGGAATTAGACAGAACCAGAAAATTAAAGACAAAATGCCAACAACAAATCCTCATATATCAATAATCACCTTAAATGTAAATGGACCAAATTCATCAGTGAAAAGGCACAGAGTAGCTGCTGGATCAGAAAACAAAACCCAGCCTTCTGCTGTGTCTGGGAAATTCATCTGAGATCCAAAGGTAAACACAGACTCAAGGTAAAAGGTTGGAAAACAACCCTACAAACACAGAGAATCCCCAAAAGGCAGGGACAGCCACAATTACATCAAATAAAATAGACTTCCATCTAAAAAGAGTAATAAGAGAAAAAGATGGACACCCCATAATGACTAAGGGGTCAATACATCAGGAAAACATACCACTCATCAACACCAGAGGACCACCAAAATATATACAGCAACTCTTATAAAATCTGAAAGCAGACTCAACAGTATTCTGATATAGCAGACTTCAGACATAGTTTGAATAGCAGACTTGAAAATCCTACTCTCAACAATAGATAGGTCAACCAGACAGAAAATCAATAAGGAAGCAATAGCCTTAAATGAGAAAATTTGAGCAGATCAGCTGAATAGACATTTGTGGACACGGCACCCCTAAAAAGCTGAGGATACATTCTTTTCAAG